TTCGGTTGGCCCCCTTCCATTCGCAGCAAAAAAAAAAGCTGCAAACTTCAAAGAAAAGCTCTTACCAGCTGGATCTCTCTCTCATTCTTCTTTGCCTGAAGATTGAGATATCTACCAGGTATTTAGGCAGATAACGCGGCCAGGAACCCGGGGGCAGCTCGTTAAGCTGCCGCCATCAGCAAGGTCCCGCCCCGGAAGTCCTAAAGTTCCTCTGGGTTGTAGTTTGTAAGCTAGAAGGTTGAATACCTGTGCAAAGTTATTCAACTTTGGAGATGAAATCTTAAAATGATGGCTTAGAGCAGTGATGGCTAACCTTTTTGTAAAGGGGCGCCAAAAGTTCGGGAACGAACTTCCTGTCGGCCCGTTGGGCCTGTTTTTCACCCTTCCCAGGCTCCGGAGGCTTTCCTGAAGCCTGGGGAGGGCAAAAATGGCCTTCCCCAACCCTCCGGAGGGCTGAAAATCAGCACGCGCCGGAGCTGAGGGCTGGCTTGCCGGCAAATATGGCTCCGCGTGCCACAAATGGCGCACATGCCATAGATTCGCCATTACAGATGTAGAGAGATCAAGAGTCTGGTCCCAACTTTTGGATAAGGGATAATCTGTACCCCCATTTAGATAATGATTATTATTTATTTATTTATACCCAGCTTTTATTATTTTCACAAGTAAGTCAGAAAACATATTCAATAGAGCTTCCTCCTCCAGTGTTCCCCAGAACAACAGCCCTGTGAGGTGATTTGGGCTGCGAGGGAGGGGACTGGCTCAAAGTCATCTAGCTGGCTTTAATGTCTAAGATGGGACTAGAATTCACAGTCTCCTGGTGATTGGCACAATACCATCCTGCCCAGTGGTGGGATTCAGCCCAGTTCACACTTATTCGGGAGAACCGGTTGTTAATTTTCCAAGTAGTTCGGAGAACCGGTTGTTGGAAGAAATCTCCTTTTTGTTTCCCCCCCCCCCCCCACACACACACCACACTTTACAGGGCTAATCCTGTAAAGGAGGGCAGGAAGGAAACATTCTGGTGTTGCTTCTAGACTAATATTTATTGCCCTGCTTACAGAAACTGCCTCTTCGGTTAAGCCTTATTACATTGCAACAGCTAAGGCCAAGTGCCCATCGACGTAAGTGACGTTGAGTTGATCACGCCCACCCAGTCACATGACCACCAAGTCCTGCCTACTCAGCTGGTCATTAGGGCACAGAACCGGTTGTTAAATTATTTGAATCCCAGCACTGATCCTGCCAGCTTTCATGCTTAAAGCAGGACTAAAACTCACCATCTCCTGGTGATTGACCCAAAGTCACCCAGCTGGCTTTCACAGGTAAGGTCAGTCCTGGAAGCCATTGTGAGGTTAGAACTCAGATTCCTGTTCTAAGCTTGATGCTTTCACCACTAGACATCAAGGCAAGACAGGTAATAGCCTAACGTTTCCCAATTTTGTTGGGAAAACCCTGCAAATATTTTAGAACCGTTCTCAATTCTTGGAATTCTCATCTCAGTGCATCTGGAAGAGCCAGACTACAGAAAATTGACAATATAGTCCATTTCCTAAATTAGCACCTACGGATTTTTCCGTTTTGTGTGCAAAATTCCCTAAGGACAAAGGCATAAATAGAATGTGCTGTTTCTTATTATTTATTTTTTACCGACCTAAACAGTTTTCAAAAAATGATTGCATTTTGAAATTTTTTTCTTAAAAAAATATTGTGCTCATGATTAATGCAGAGGCCCTTGGAATTTGAGAGTATTTTTTTTTCCTTTGAGGAAAAGTCAAGATAGTGGATGGAGGTCATTGGCAAATTGTTTCCTTTAGAAACAATAAAAGTTTAGGAGGGAGTAAATCAATAACCTCCTTTTCTTTCACTGGTGTTCCCCCTGCTTTTCCATGCAAGTAATAATAGGAGGTTTCTACTGTATCTTGCAAGTGAGAGCCAATTTCCTGCGGTGATTAAAGCAACAGATTAGAAACCAGGAGACTGGGAGTTCTAGTCCCCCCTTGTGCTGAAAGCCAGATGAGTGACTTTGGGCGAGGACCTCTCTCTCAGCCCTAGGAAGGAGACAATAGCCAACCACTTCTGATATTTTGCCAAGAAAACTGCAAAGACTTGTCCAGGCAGTCAGCAGGTGTCAAAAAGCCTAAAACCGAAAAACTTTGTAAATAATCTGTGCTGCTTCTAGAATGAATGGGAAAAGAATGAGAATGAGATCAAAAATCAACCAAAAATAGAAGATTGGTACCAGGAACACACGTGAAACAGACTGTCTAAGTCTCTTCTTAAAAACCTCCAGTGATGAAGCACCCACAATTTCTGGAGTCAAGCTGTTCCACTGGTTAATTGTTTCATTGTTAGGAAGTTTCTCCTTAATTCTACGTTGCTTCTCTCCTTGATTAGTTTCCACCCATTGTTTCTTATCTTGCCTTCTGGTGCTTTGGAAAACAGGGCATCTTGCAATCATGTAATCAGTTTCCAGCAAAAAAACACCCCACCCCCCCATTGGGGAATTTGGGTTCGCTTAACGAACACATAATTCACCTAACCAGCCCAATAAAAATTATTGTAAAATTGAATCTGACTTTATTTATGAGCGCAACAATTTACAATAGAAATGCTGGTCCCTGTTGCAACTTGAGGACTACCTGTAGTCAATTTTTTTTTTTTACAGAAATCAGAGATAGACATCCATTTCCAATGTTGGTAAATGGACAAACAAGAAAAGTGAGGCTCTTGGGGAATCAAATTTTGTGAAAGAAGCTAAGTTTTGCTCAGAATTTTGGTGATCATAGAAGACAATACTTCATTGGCAAAACATACTTAGGCAGTGTTGCATTTTTAGAGGACTAGAAGTAAAAACAACACAGATTCGTGACCCCCAGGGTTTTCATGGGTCTTGCAAAGTCCTCCAAAGCATATATGATAATGAAGTGTTATTTACTGAAAGCGCTTTAACCAATTACTGCATCCAGTTTTGGTCACCACATTATAAAAAAGATGTTGAGACTTTGGGAAAAAGTGCAGAGAAGAGCAACTGAGATGATTAAAGGACTGGAGACTAAAACATATGAAGAATGGTTGCAGGAATTGGGTATGGCAAGTCTAGAGAAGGAAAGGACTAGGGGTGGACATGATAGTAGTGTTCCAGTATTTGAAGGGCTGCCACAAAGAAGCGGGGGTTCAAATTATTCTCCAAAGCACCAGAAGGCAAGACAAGAAGCAATGGATGGAATCTAATCAAGGAGAGAAGCAAGCTGGAGTTAAGAAGAACCTTCCTAACAATGAGGACTAGTAACCAGTTCTCCTGCTTGAGCAGGGGGCTGGACTAGAAGACCTCCAGAGTTCCTTCCAGCTTTATTCTGAATTGCTCAACCTAGAGGGCTTATATAAATCAGTTTCTACCACATATCTTATGCCTTAAAAAAAGTTGTACTAAAGGAATGAGAATAATAAGCCAGGGGATCAGTTTTTAATTTAGATCATTTTCGTAATAACAGCTGAGATGGAAGTAATTCAAAGAAAGGAAGAACAAAACAAGGTGAATTTTCAGTCCGTGGAATCGTCCCAGATCCTTTTCTTAATTTTCTTTGCAGCTTCTTTTATAGTGTCCCTAACAAGCTGTGATGCAAAATCAAATCAGTCACGAAATGTATTGCGGGGTTCTCCCTTTTGATTTCTGGCACATCGGGATTTCACTTGTGCCCAAACAAGGCAGGGTAAATTAAGTGAGTTTTCCTCAATGGGAGCGGGGGGGTTAAAAACAATCAATTGAGGGCAAAACAGGTGACTTTTAAGAGCTCAAACTTTTGTCCTTTTTTTGTAATTTCCAACGGTGATCACCAGTGGATTGTGTTGTTGTCGCTACTGTCCACTCAAAACAGCAGCAGACAAGCTCATTTGGGAGATAAATCTGCCTCTTGCATTTGATGTGGTTTGTATATTCTCCCCACCTGCTTTGTTTGACCAGCTGGCCTCTCCAAGAGATGGAGAGGAACTGAAACATTAAGTGAAACGTGCTCCCCCATCTGTCTTGAGTTTTATCATCCAGCTCTGTGCATCTGTTCTGAACTAGGATTCCCCAAACCACGAAGCAGACTCCTTGTCACGACAAAAAAACTCTTTTTATTAAGTTACTGTGAATTCATCTCATTCACATCCAGCAAAGTCTTTCAAGGGTGAATTTACAGTCACAGACCTTATCTGACTTGGAGAGCTGCCGGTCAATATCTTCGAAACTTGGCAAGGAGTCTCAGAGAGTCATCGAACTAATTGTCTCCTGCAAATTCAACTCTCTTTTTGCTCCTCTTTTAGTCCCTATGGGAGGGGCCATTCACCGCCCACCTATGGCCTTATTCCCAAGTCGACCTCTTCTCTTTAGCTGTTCCCTTTATCTAGCAACTCTGTGCATGCGCACACTGGGAAAAGGCTCCAACTGTTCGTCTGCCTCACTGATGTCTGCCTCCAAAGGCAGCTGATAACTGTCAGACGGCCCTGGCCCCATCTCTGCCTCCAACGCAGAGTCCTCATCAGAGCCTTCCTCAGACTCCAGGACTGTCCCATGTTCCTCCTCAATCTCCTCACTGTCCAGATCAGCTGCCAGCTCCCCTGGCTGCTGGGGGACCATAACATCATCTAGCTGGCCATTTTGGTGTGTTTCTCCAAACGCTTAAACACACCCGTCCTCCATTAGTTATATAAATGTATGGAAAGGGAAATCACTTTTACAAATATCCTTTTTAATAGAGGCAAGAGTTAGAATCTGAGAACAAGAAACTGAAAAATGACCTAAACGAACTCAGGAAGGCTGTGGTGGATGGCGTAGTCCAAAACAATTCTTCCAATGACGTTCATGACACCTACAACCTCCTCCTGAATCAGCTCAAGTCCGCTAGCGAAGAGCTGGAAGTCCGGAAGGAAGAGGTGCTCATTCTCAGGACCCAGATTATAAAAGCAGCCCAACAAAAAGACGCAGGCAGAAATATGGTAACGAAAGAGAAAGCAAGCAAGCATGTGCAATTTACCCCACTGTGCATGTGTTGTTTTCACCGTGTTACTGGCTGTCGTGCAGGTTGTTTTACTAAAATTACAAAGGCGACCTTGCTTAGAAGCTGTTTGTTCATCCAGTTTTTTATTTTAAAGGCATTATCTGAGAGAGAGAGAGAAAGAGAGAGGAGGGAAACTTCTGATTTTAAATCTGTAAGCTGGAAAATGATGGAGATTTTGACATGCGGAGGAAATTTCTATGGAGATTCTCAATCATCCAGGTCATGGTTGTCCCAAAGGTGCTTTTTCCAAAAGACGACTGGATTTTTCTTGGGATTTTTTTTTTCTTTCCAAACATTTTGCTTCTTATCCAAGAAGCTTCTTCAGTTCTAATCAACTGGATCCTTCTATTCCCCACCAGTCAGATACAACTGAAATTGAACTGAATAGCTCCCTTGAATGTGAAGCAAAATGTTTTCAGGGTGGGGTGTGGGGAAACACCTATGAAACTCTTATTTGCCTTTTGGAAAAAAAAACACAATTGCAGAGGAAAATATGTCTGATAAAGCACTGATGAAATCATCAAGCCCCCAAATTAGTCAGAAGTGGCCTTGGCAAATTCTACACACATTCAGCTTTGGCAGATAAAGGAATGATGTGCTACTTGCTTTTCTTCTTGACAACAATGCAGTAATGGAGATTGATGGTGAGCCACGGTGGCACAGTGGTAAGAGTGCAGTACTGCAGGCTACTTCTGCAGGCTGCCGGCTGCCTGCAATTTGGGCAGTTCAAATCTAACCAGGCTCAAGGTTGACTCAGCCTTCCATCCTTCCAAGGTCGGTGAGGACCCAAATTGTTGGGGGCAATAGGCTGATTCTGTAAACCGCTTAGAGAGGGCTGTAAAGCATTGTAAAAAGGTATATAAGTCTCAAGTGCTCCTGCTGTTGCTATTGTCCATTTTGATCTTCAATCTGTAGAGCAAATGGACAGTTCTCAGCTCCAAGCTTGGATCTAGAGTGGGAATAAGAGCTGCTCTGTCTTGGTGGGCCCTTCAGTGGGTTTTCTGCAAACAAAGCTATTGATGTAGCATTGAATCAACATTGCACCGGAAAGCAACAGCAATTTGGAATTGTTGGTAGGCAATATTGAGATATGTGACAAACCGCGAGTTAGCAGAGGACACATTCAGCAGGGATGCTTAATTTTGGTTCCTGCACTAAGCAGCAGATTGGCCCCTCGGATTTGAATATTCTTAATCCATGATAAGAAAGCTGAAAGATCTGGAGATCTAGGATGAACAGAGGATTCTTGGGCCAAGATTTATGCCTGCTCTAAAAATGTAGGTTACCATAGGGATGGGATTCAGCCGGTTCAGACAAGGTCAAGTGAACCGGATGCTAATTTTATATCTGGTTGGCCAAACCGGTAGTTGCAAGGACTGGCTTGCCCCCTCCCACCCTGCTCCGCCACTCCCAGGAGTCTCCACACAGCCCGTTTTGAATGCCAGGTAAGTGCAGGGCCCATGCGGAGGCTCTGGGAGGGCCAAAAATGGGCCTACCAGAAGTTCCCGAAGTCCAGAAACAAGCCCAAGGGCCTCTGGAGCCGGGTGGCAGGTCGTTTGCGCACTCCTGGAGGCTCGAGGAAAGCCACGCCCATGGTGCAGGAAGCTGAGTAGGCCACACCCACCATGGTCATGCCCACCCAGCAAACAGGCAGAGAACCAGTTGCTAAAAATTTTCAATCCCACCCCTGGATTACCAGGTTGGTTTAGGAAAAAGAAATTAGCTGCTTCGGAGGTAGAGTTATGCTAGGCTGTTTTTCTATTCCTGCTTCATGATGGAAGTTTCTGCTGTTAAAAAATTGCAGTCAAGTCCCAGAAGCTTTCCTTAGAAAGTTGCCCGAGTACAAGAAAAGCTTAGTTTAATATTAGGGGTCTCCAACCTTGGCAAATCCAGGTTGTGGATTTCAACTCTCAGAATTCCAGCCATGCTGGCTGCAGAATTATGGAGTTGAAGTCGACAAATCTTAAAGCTGCCAAGATTGGAAACCCCTGGCTTATATGGTCCTCTATTGTATTCACTTGGGAGAAGTCCCTTATATCCCAAAGTCCTCCCTCCGGCTGATCTGATGATGTGCACATTGACAGTATGGTTTTTTTAAAAATGATGGCAAAACATAAATAAACTGAAGGTGAAAGATAAAGAAACTTCCACTGGCAAGAACCTGGCATTTGATTGATCAACCAGTTTCAGCTACATCAGCACTAACTTCAAAAGAGGTGCAAGCATCAGTAAAAATGATTCGTATTTCCAACAACTTGCACTGGGGAAATGTTGATTCAAAAGCCTTAATCAGGGAAAGGCATGGGCCAGAGAATAAAAACATATTAATTTGTATTTTTACAAAGGCATGTACATTTCAATAATAATATTAATAACTCCTGTATAAACATCAGAGAAAAATGTATTCAAAGTCATCCAAAGTCACTTTGGATAGACAGATGGGCAGGTGATAGATAGATAGATAGATAGATAGATAGATAGATAGATAGATAGATAGATAGATAGATAGATAGATAGATAGATAGAT